CACTAAGTGTTGTTTGATAAAATAAACATGACTTCTTGCTACTAAGCTAACTTGTTTTTACGACACCATCTTCTCTCTTCCTGCTTTACTGACAGCCAGTCAGGTGAGATCTATATATTATGGTGTTTCAATTGTTCTTATTGATGCATTTATCTTAAAAACTATCTCTTGTTGTCACAGGTTTAGTGCTAGTGCTAGGAGTCGCATGTCTGATTGTATTTCTGTGTAAGAAGAGACGGACCAGACAGCCAAATCAGCAGCAGCAACAAGGGTGACTGAAAAATACAATTATTCATCTTTGTATGTTTTCATGTGTTGTGGTATCATTCATATTAATATCAACTTGTTTCAGTGACCATCGTGAGACTGAATTCCTAAACAAGGAAACAAAGATCTAGAGACATCACTAAGAGGTCAGTGACTGACATACATACATACATACATGCATACATGCATACATGCATACATACATACATACATACATACATACATACATACATACCTCATTTTAAGATTTCTTTCCATGTCATTAGAGCACTTCAAGCTGATCCTGGATTGGATGATGACACGTCTCCTTCTCAGGGTGACAGCGGAGTTTAAACCTGAGACGTTAAAATGGAAAGACTCACCACTGAAAGAATCCTGAATAGAAATCTATGGCAGACTTCTCTAACACCAAAGATAGTGGTTTATGAAATATATCCTGCCTCTCCCCCTAAAAAGCCAATCACCTGCTTTGTCATGGCCAAACTGAGAAAAACCAGCCAACTGTATTGTTGCATTTATTTGAAACTGTAATGCACAGATGAAGTATAACCTGTGGAGGAGAAATGCTTTTCAAACCTTACTGGTGTAAAGCCACCAAAGCTTTTAAACGGTTTTTATATATTTGACTCTATACATGTTGATTTTATGCACCAGTGACTTTTCAAACTGCAGTTATGACTCTCTCCCCACTCATTTAGATAGAAACCTGAGGCCTTTACTACAGATTCAGATTCATTTTATTGTCATTGCAACGTGTACAACGAAAAGTTAGGTGCAGGCCTTTCAGTGCAAAAAAAAAACAAAAAAACGCGAAGCATGATTAGTAGATTAGTGAGGTATGTTAAACTTAAAGCCAGACTTTTCAGTGAAATGAAGGTTTTCTAGCTCACCATGGTAACTGATGCAGCAGCTGACCTTGTCCAGAGGAGTAATGTTCAGAGTTTGGGATTTAAATAGTCTGTAATAAGCGTTTCCCTTCAACCAAATTGTTTCCTGACGATTCTCTATGAGTAACACAGATTGCCAGCTGAGGGAATATGTCATATCTGAGAACCTGTTAAGCTGTATGTTCCTGATATTATTGAATAAAGCCGTACTGTTAGAGTATCACACACTGAATGTGTTGCCATGGAACCCGACATGTATTCAGCTGGTGATGTAGAAGTCACATTAATATGTTTTTACGTTTGGTCCTGATTTGTTGTCAAGAGCATTTTGCACTGCTGCTGCTGTTGATTAGTCTATTGCTATTTATTACAGACAACATTCAGCATTGATTGGTCATGTAACTATATTAACACACAACTACTGCCAGCATTCCTCTCTTGAATTATGTGCAATACCAGTGCTTTTTACCCTAATAGATTTTTATATTCCTCTCATATTGTTCTCCATTATAAAAACCGGTTCACCTTGACTCAAGTAGGCAGCACACAATCCATCTATTTTGTTTGGAAGAAGAGTCATGTGACGCGTCAAACGTCCTGTTTTCTGTGAAAGACTCAGACTCTGAGACTGAAAACCTGACTTAAGAAAGTTGATGACTACCATCATGATACTTGTTATCTGACTAAAGTTTTAGCTTTTGTTGAATTGTCTTCCACAGCCTGGCTATGTTAAATTTGCTTCATGTTACACCTCTGTGGCCTTGTTAGCCACAAAAAAACCCTGTATTGTGGGTGTTACAAAGATGGCTGCCGAGTGGAGAGATTTGCATATAAAGACTTTCTTATACATATGTAGCTTAATTTGTCTTTATGTCTTGTTACATTTTTGCTATAATTGTTCTTAATCTATTTTGCTAAATAAATGTGCTATTATGAAACTGGTTGCCATGTGTGATGTTGTTCCACCACAAGTAACTACATTATTATGTCACACTGACAAGCTGAAAGAGTTGCTTCAGTATTGAAATGAGTTGACCAGCTTTTGCTTCACGATTCACAGGTCAGATCTGAACTTGCTTTTCATTTTAGTGGAACAAAAAACAGCACAGGGCTGCACGGTGGCTCAGCTGTTAGCACCATCGTCTCACAGCACGAAGATCCCCAGTTTGTGTCCCAGTGAGGACGCCTGGGATCTTTCTGCATGGAGTTTGTATGTTCTCCCCGTGCAGCGCAAGTTCTCATCAGGTTCTCCGGCTTCCTCCCACAGACAAAAAAACATGCTGAGGTTAAGTGCTGATTTTAAATTGTCTGTAGGTGAGTGTGCTTGTCTGTCTCCAAGTGTAGCCCTGTGATAGACTGGTGACCTGTCCAGGGTGTCCCCTGCCTTCACCCTGAGTCAGCTGGGATAGATTCCAGCCCCCCGTGACCCCAGTGAAGATTAAGTGGTGTATAGATAATGGATGGATGGAAAATACAGGAACTTCTTAAAAAGAATACAAACTAACTTTTGTATGTTGTCAAACCTCCCAAACTGCTTGCAACCGTTTTATATAATTGTGTTTTGTTTTATATTTCAGTTACTTAAGTATCACCATTTTACTTTACATTACAGTTATTTTACTTAATAAATTATCTTTATTCAACAGGACAGTTTAAGGCTTCTTTTTTTTTTTTTTTTTAGAACCAGCTGTGGTAAAAACTCTTCTCTGTTAGCAACCTTGTTATTTATTTGTTTCTCAGTCTCTCCAGTATAAATAAAGGTTGAATGAATGCATAAATGAATAACAGGATTACTAAATCTCATACCATGCAACAAGGAACTAAAATGGGAATTCAAACATTTAGAATGTTTCCAAATGATCGTTGGAGAGAGATAACAGAGTCAGAACAAACTGGGATAAGATGCCCCCCTTTAGGACGTCTATTTTCTGTTAAAATGTATCAACATCAACACAATATGTACATAAAAAGTATGCTTAAGTGAACAACTGTAAAAGCAATTAGGACATATTTGTCATTGTAGAAGTCAGTGGAAAATCTTAAATAGAAGCACCACCTCGACCAGGGAAGAAAATCCCTTACAGAGGGGTGAAGCTGTTAACCTCATGAGTCATTTGAATTTAGACAAACCTGTTAGTCAACTTCAACATAACTGTTACAGCCCTGGAAAAAGTAGTAAGCACCTTTGGAAGTCATCCCATTTTATTACTTTTCAACAGTAAATCACAGTCAATATCATTTGGCTTTTACTGGTAGCATTGGAGTCATGAGGCCCTCTATTGGCATCAGTGGTTTCAATGCTGAAACCTTGCTAATGTTACATTTCTGATAAATGATGTGCACTGTCATCTAATACAGTAACACAATAGCTAACCAGTAGTTAAAAACGATATCATGAGCTGTCTAAAAGGCTGACTACCTGAGCTAATACCGTTATGCTACATTAGCTTGATGCAACACTAGCTAGCTAGCCTGAATTCTTTCTGAGTGTAGTAATGAAGGGGGGCATCTTACCAGAGTTTATGTAATTATTGTCATACTAACTTTGGTTACTCAAAGGAGTCCTTACTGATGTTGGACAAACCTGTGGGGTTTGTTCAGAGGGCATGTTGGAGTTTCTAAAGATCTTATGTGAAACAGAAAAGATTTGATGACCTCCACAGCAAATCAAGAAGAGCACACATTTTTCATGAATGTATTTTTCTCTCTCTATTGTGTTTTATTAAACATTATTCAAGATTTTTCTTATCTAGTGAACCTTGTATGATTACTGTCATAATCTGTCTGCCTTGATGGTCGTAAATGCTCAAATGAAGGCCCTTTTCTCCTCATGTGGTTATTTTGTTTCATAATTCCTTGATAAGTTCAGTTATTGATGTTAAGCACATGTGACCTGATATAAGAAACCCTCACCAGCCAGCTCCTTGGTGTTGAGAATGCAGTAACACTGTCAACATTTAAGGGGAAGAACTATCTTAACATAACATTTCAAGACAGTACATGGAAAGGAGATGCATTCAGGTGCATCACATAAATGTAACAACTCGTGCTGGAACAGCCAAAAAGATGCAGACGGTGAAGTTTCTGTTGTTTTATCCTCGTCTTCCTTTCTTTCACGTTTGCACATTCACACGATCACACTGAAGCACTTTAAAAAACAACAATCCTAAAGTCATCAAGTGTTAATGTTACCAGCAAAACTTCATCATATTTCTGTTCAACATGCCCCAGGTATTTTGTGAAGGTTGTCAAGTTGTTTGACTACAACATTGTTTCATAATTAAATGCTATGTTCATATCCAGCATGCATGCTTTGTTGTATGGGCAGATTTATTCTTTAAATCAATAAAGAAATGAAATCAAATTGAAATCAAAAAAATCTGACGTATTCTTGTGAGGTCAGTCAGCTTTTGAAACCTGAAATTACAGAGTAGCACTTGTTAAAGTAAATTTCAGTGACGTTTATCTCTTGTTCTGCCTCCCTCTTTGCCTTTCTTTCTTTGGACCTTGGCTCATTTTCATTACCCTTTCCTTCCACTCTTTTGTGTTTTCCTCTGATCTACAAACTGTTGCAGTAAAATGACTTTAAAAGCATGACAGAGGTAACTGGGAACACTATGAACAGGAGTGTCTGCTTGTGTTGATCTAAATGAGAGGTTTTCATGATTTTCTAGTTGTTTAAAAAAAAAAAAAAAAAAAAACTCAAGTGAAACAACAAGAATGTATTCCTACAAAGGAAAATGAGGGAAAAAATGAGAAACTCTGCCGTTCTAAATAACGACTGTGCACATTCCGGTATAGACTGTATGCACGTGAATGCACCACGAGGGAGGCGGAGATTGACGGATGAGCGTGTGTTTCATTCATAAATAGCGGCGAGTGAAGAGACACCTGCAAAGCTTTGAAGAGTTTATCTCAAGTCTCTCTGAACCCGCAGGTTTCTGTACGACATTTACTGAACGGTTCGAAGGGAAATACGAGCGAACTAGATCAAGGTAAGTGATTCAGAGATTCATTGATGGTTTATTAATTCCAGATCCGTATCAGTCTGCTCTTGTACTGTGACATGAAAACAGACGTGCTGCTTGATGTCCGTGAAAACTTGTGTGTGTGTGTGTGTGTGTGTGTGTGGGGGGGGGTTGATTGGATATCGTTGCAACTTTATGGCGACGTGAAAATGTGACAGAACCACAGATTGACATGATGAAACTAACGTGTGCTACAAGAATACGTGGTGCTCTAGCGGTGGAGTTGCTCGTGTGTGCGAGCTCTGGTACATGGATGAGGAGCCCTCATCTGCGTACCCAGGGCTCCAGACTGAGACCAAAATAGTGGCATACTTAGAGTTTTTGACTGTGTGAGGCCATGCACATTTAACTTGATCGCATTAGTGCGAGTGTATGTTTATGACTAGTCAGATATGGAGTCCCTGCGACCGGTGCAGGCAGCTACTGTGTTGGAATGTGGTTGACAGTCGCACTTATTCTTCCTCGTGTTGTGAAGTGTTGAAGTGACAGCCTGCTGACAAGTGAGCAATAGTTGTCAAGGTTGTATCAAGGGTGTGGAGGATGTAGGAGAGCGACCTAATCATAGGCCAGAATCAAGAACTGGTATGCAATACTATGGTTTATTTCCATAATATAAATAATATAATTAGGTTCTAACGGGTTTTTTTTTTTAGTTTTTAAAAACGCATATAGCATCCACTTCCCTTTAAAAAGATGCAATCTGTAAAATGGTTCAA